CCCTCGCTTCCTTCTGATCTGTTAACTGCTCATATTGATATGGTTTAGACTTCCTTTCTTTAAACGATTAACATGCACCAACTGTTTATTCTTGTAACAGATCTATTGGGTCTCACAATTTACAGAGCTTGTTTACCTTACTACTCTGAATGGTCCCTTCCACAGCTCTGCTAACTTTTTAGCATTACCTTTCTTAACTATAGGGGTATACAATACTGCTTTATCACGTAAATTAAGTTCACTAATTTGTGCTTTTTTATTTGCTTATTTCTCTCTATGTTCAGCAGCTTTAGTCAAGTGTTCATTAGTTACTTCAAATGTAATTTGCAGTCACTGAAATAACTCTTCTTTATAATCCTCATCTACTGTAGAAATTACTAGAATAGTATTCTTTGTCTCGTATGCATAATTTCACGTCTTTATCTTTTCATTTGTAACTTGTCTTTAATTGTTAATTTTCCTTTCTAATTCTATGCGTTTTATTATTTATGGAGATATGTCAGCTCCTACCCACGAGGCTTAATAGTTATTACCTGCAGACTCATGCATTTCACTAAAGAATATTGCCTGTGCATGTGCCATCTTGTTTATAAGTTTTAACAATCTGGGCAACTGTAAGTTAAACTTATAAAGATTATTAAACCTTTCAAATATGGATTTTGAAACACAAATAATACACAATTGATTATAATATAAAAATAAAACATAAAAGCAACCTAACTGTCTAGCAAACTAATATACACAAAGTGAAAAATACTTGCGAAGCACTTCGTATCCCTCGAGAGAATAATGGACTTAGCTTCATTTCATTCCATTTCAAAACAAAAGACTACACATATTTCCAATTACGGTACCAATAATCAAGGGCGAAACCTGCTCTCTCTATTGGTTATAAGCATGCCATTCAACTTCAAACCTTAAACTAAGAAAGTATTTACAACGGTTTCTTCGGTAAAATGAGACAGTAATGTAAACTACATGTATACGTACTCTGGCTGTCTGAAGGAAGCATATACAGTGCAGACACACAGTTTCTTCTCTACTGGCTCTTGAAGCTGAGAAATTGTAACTGCAAGCTGATCACATCAGAGCAAAAACTGAAGTTTTACTTGTTTTTTAAATGTTTCTCTTGAAATAAAGGAATAATAACTTAGATAATATAAAACTTTAAATTATAAAAATATTTATAATCTCCAGATAATCATCAAATGTTTTTGTTTAGAAAAAAACTATAGTTTATCCGCTGTTTTCATTATTGTATCTCTGTATGGGTTTTGTCGATTTGACCAACTGCGTAACCACCATAAAAAATTGGGAAATAGATATAAATTGCGTTTTCTTGTTCTAGAATGACTACAAATTATAACACAAAACCACAAATGTTTAGTCTCAATAACTTAAATCTCATAACATTATATGTCTATATATTTTTTATTTTATGGACCTTTCAGCCATACCTGACTAACAATACAAAAGTTGCAATGAGGCAGTGCACATGCACTCATGTTATCATATCCAGTAGTATAAAACTGGTTTTTACAAAGTGACCTGTCTTGGCTTTGTTCTAGTGGACCAGTGTTTTGTAAAACAGTTACATTTTGGCCATAATACATATATTATTACTGTTTTGAAACATAGTATAGTAAAAAAAAGTATAGAAAATAATTATCTCTTCTACTTAGAAACTATGTACTCACTAACCACTTGCCATAATTTGTCAAATTTTACACATGGAGGATGTTTTATATATATATGTAGTTTTATATATGCATTTTGAAATAACAGAAAATCATAAATTACAATATCAATATCACAGAAATCCACTATAATTTATCAGGCTTAGTAACTAATCTTTATTTGGATCTAAAAAATATGATATTGTGAGCTCCATTATATCTGATTTTACCATGCAAAACAAGGTTTTCCCGAGTAAACACTTCACAGAGCTTTCAATTGGTTATACATATGTCATTGAGCAAAGTAGAGGTATGTAAGCAAGTATTTCCAAAAATGGAAGAGGTTGATTCACAAAATATAATAATATCTCAGAAAATAGAAAAGATATGAGGTTCTTATTTTAATTCTAGCTTGTCAATATCGGCAATTTGAGTTTATAATTCGTAAGAAACTATAGACTTCGTATTTGTACATCACAAACATCTAATTTGAACCAAAGCTACATCCAGCATACAATAATTTATATTCATTAACTGTTATATAACTGTTATATATACTTTTTTATATATTTACTTTTCAAGTAAGAAACCAAGTAATGTATAATACTAAAATTTGAATTATAGTCTATAATTTGATACCAAATTTATTGATATACATTCATAAAATAGTAGTTCAATAAAATTCTGAATGTAATTCTTCAAACATGATGACATGCCCTTTGACCCCTGACCATAGGATTAATATCATTAGCCACCTTAAGGGTGCATGATATGTAATCATATTAAACTTTCTGCCACTTGCTTTGTCACAGAATAATTCTTTCTGCTTTCCCTAACTGTCTACTCTGATATGCTATAGGGTATTCTTTTCCATTTTCGTCTCTATGGGATAATACCACACCTGCAGCAAAATCTGAAGCATCTGTGTGTAAAATTTACTCTTTATTAAATTCTGGATAATTAAAATATCTGCCCTTAACAGTGAAGCTCGAAATTTCTCGAATGCTTCTTGTCTTTAGCCTGTCCACTGAAGTACTATATCTTTCTTAGTTAGCTCAGTTAAAGGTCTCACTAAAATTGGAAAATGTGAGGTAAATCTCATATCAAATCCTACATATCCTAAAATGCACAAATATCTTTAACCATTATTGGTATTGGATAGTTTTGCATATTTCTATTTTCTTTGGGTCAAGCTTTACACCTTCCACAATTACCACATGACCTAAATATTCTACTTCCTTTGTTAGGAATTGACACTCTTGACTTATACTTTAAGTTTGCTCTCTGTAATCTAACAAATATGTGTATTAGCCTCTATAAGTGTTCTTAAAAGCTTGCAGCAAGCACTAGGATGTCATATAAGTAGCAAAACATTCTGAATCCTGTAACCCTGATAAAACAACATCCATTAACCTTTTCACAACAGGAGCCCCTTTAAATGATTTTTTGTGCAAGTCACTGTGTTACATACACAACACCTTTACTATCAATGTATGTGAATGAAATTAATATTATAATTTGTGTTATGATTTGAAGTTTCATTTTAACCAATTCTGAAGTCATTTATTTCAAAATTATTTAAAACTTCATATGTATTGTCTCGTGACCAATGAGCTATGAAAATTCTCTTTCTGAAAGTAGTTTTTCACCATACGCCCAGTTGTACTGCAATTACAGAATTTTGGGCCTTTGAACTTACTCTGTTTCTTATTTTGCCAATTTGTACCCCTATTTCTGTTAGTATTCACAGTGTTTATAGCAGAATGCTGGGGTCTGTATATCTGTTTCTCACATAGCTCTTCTCTAGTAGCTGTTTCAAACATATCTAATAATAGTGTTCCATCTGAGGTATTTGCTTTGTTGATGTTTCTTCTAGTTATATAACTGAGAAATCCTCTTTCATAATCTGAGTTCAGGGAGCCCTGAATCATTATTCATTTGAGTACATGGCCAGGTGGTTAGGACGCTCGACTCGCAATCTGCGGGTCGCGGGTTCGCATCCCCGTCCCACCAAACCAATGCTCGCA